TGTACCTAACACATTTCTTTAAATGTCAGCATACTAGTAAAAGACGCCTAATATAAAATGTGACCCTATTATCTATTACTTGGTGTGTCTATGCACATGATGGGCATGGACAACTTAAAGAGCATCTGAAAAGAACCAGATGAATGAAAGAAACAAAAGTTAGCCTTATCATCATTTTCTTTCTTTCTGAATCACCTACAGATCTATGAGCCAGAGGGAGTAAAGATTTTCAGAATCCCATCTCCCATTTTCTTCGCAAACATCGATTTCTTCAGAGACAAACTGAAGGACGCTGTGAGTGCAGTAGTTTCAGTGCGATAACCCAGACATGATCAGATGACATGATCACAACCTAACCTGTTTACTTTAATGCAGGTGGGCTTTAATCCTCTGAGAATCCTGAGGAAGAGAAACAAGGCCCTAAAGAAGATCAAGAAACTGATAAAGAAAGGAGAGCTGACCTTAACATCTGTACGTCCTCATGTTTTAAAACATGAAAGCAATGATCTCAAGGACTTCATAATAAATGTTATTATGTAATGTAGCTGTATTCCATCCACTGCTTTGATGTCTTAATCTGAGACATCCAAACTCAATGAACCAATCTTATCATTTAGATATCTATCTAAAGTTATACTTTAATATCTTCCGCCTATAGAACGGACTACAGGCCACATGTTCAATGCCCATTGAAGAGTCAGAGGATGAAAGCAACATGGAGGATCTAGACAAGCCCACAGACTATTCGGATCTTCCAGTCCAGGTGAACTGGAACGCAGAACTTCCTGCCAACATCCAAATCCCTCCTGTGAACATCCACAGTTTGGTCCTGGACTTCTCTGCTGTATCATTCCTGGATATATCTGCACTCAAGGGTCTCCAAGCGGTAAGGCAGTTGGGTTCATTCTGAAATCAAAGTGTACATTTAATCTCTTAGTATTTCTCTGTGCAATGCATTCAATTCTAATCTGAAAAAGATCTAATAAACCACAAACACTTCTGTTTACAGGCCTTAAAGGAATTTATACGCATTGATGTTGATGTTTACATAGTAGGCTGTGACCGTAAGTACTTTATTTCCTTCTAGACTGCAGGTTAAAGATTTAGATTAGATTATTTTACAATGTAACCCCTTATCTGCAGTGCCATGGCTATTATAATGTAGCATAATGGTCTGTAATAATAAAACTGTGCAGTAACTCAAACCTTTGACTTGTCGTTTCCAGCATATATCATAGAGAAGCTGAGGGACTGTAAATTTTTTGATGATGAAATAAAGACGTCTATCTTCTTTTTGACCATCCATGATGCAATGCTCTACATTCATGAGTCCCATCCACCGAAGACTGTGAGCGAGAAGGTGAAGGAAAACCTACAAGCTTCATTTGTTCATTCAAATATTCATTAATGTTAATATTAATATTAAATGTGAATGTTAATATTTGATCAAAAACGCATTATTAAAATCTGCGTCTAATTTGAATTTATGCAAACAGGTCTCAGGAAGTTACCAATACCAACACATCAATGGCAGCAGCATGTCCAATGGGTTGACAATCCAAGAAATTCCAGTATGTGACCCAACAGACACCTGGGATTGAACCTGTTCAAGCATTAAACAAATTATTTAAAGGAATATTTCATCCATTGTTTAATCATTTTTTTGAAGAGATGTTTGAAGTTAAATTGCTCTTTTTTTCTGCAGGACATGAAAATGGAAGTCGAAACAGACACCAAACCAGAGACACGGTTCTGAAGTGAATCAACTTGAATCCTCCGCTATGTAGAACTTTGAAATCAATGTATATAAGAATTAATTTGATTTAGCATGAAGCAGTTTTGTATTCTGTGCTGCATGCAGAATGAATTAGCTCTAGATTATGCCAATGTGTCATGTCACTAAATTATTGGATTTGTGGTGAACATGTTGTACAAACACTCTTATCAGTTCACTATCAGTGTCTTTTGTACTTTTTTCCTTTTTGAATAGTATGGTTTTTTTGTGCACTATTTTATTCTAAAATAAAAAAAAGTTTTCCAAAATATACACTGTCCTTCCTGATAACAAACCACAACAAAAAAAAGCACACATTTGAGACAAACCTTAACTAATAAAGGCATGTGCAGATAAAGTTGTTTTACTTTTTCTGGAGTAATACGTATTATAAATTCGAATTCCTAGCAGTGAATGAATAACTATCCATATGAGAAAGGAAGTTATTATTGAGGTAGTGAAGAGGGCAAGATAACAAAAGAACTTGTCCTTTGTACCATAAAATTAAGGAAAATTCATAAGCTATTGAAGATGAATTCATTAAATATGATCAAAAATATCAAATCATTAAAGAGTAAATGGTAAAGTCACAGTATAACAGACTAATCACAGACTAAGCAAATTTTAATATCAAATAAAGAGTACCTGAAAAGTGGAGATAGCAAAAATGACTCCATTACAAGTTACAAGCCACCAATTCCAATACGACTTGAGTAAAAGTCTTATCTGATGTTGTCAGTATTTTACTCATACTGAATGTAGACTCAAAGATGCACTAGTCCTAAACACCTAAGAGACATGCCAGTGGAAAACAAGAAACAGTGTGAGGAGAGCAATCACGTTTATTTTCTAAAGTCTAAATAAAAACTGAATATCTCAATATTGCAATAGACACAACAGCCTCTTAAACACCTACAGACACTCAAGTCTCAGTTAAGGGGATAGTTCACCCAAAAAAGAAATGCTGTCATCATTTACTCATCAAGTTGCTTCAAACATATACGAGTTTCTTTCTTCTGCTGAACACAAAAGAAGGTATACAGGTTTGGAACAACTTGAGGATGAGAATATGTTTCATTTTTGGGTGAACTATTCATGTAAGATCAAGTTCTCGAAAAAGTAAGTAAGCTTTATTTCTATAGCACCTTTCACAGACAGAAGGACACAGTGCTTCACAACAGAAAATATACATCAAAATATAAACAATATAAAAGGCCATAATACACGATCATATCAACCCAAAAGTAGCTCATTTGAAACCTGAACAAATAGATGAGTCTTTAGTTTGCACTTGAAGGTATCAACACAGTCAATAGAGCGCAAAGAGGGCGGAAGATCGTTCCACCAATCAAGATCAAGTTCTCAAACAAGAAAGAGCCCAAGTAAAGCAACATTCTTCAAAAAGGTCTCTTCAATAAAATGGATAAATAAAATAATGTCTAAGCCTACAGTACTTGCAATGGACGCGCTGGTTTCGGCCTCATCACCGGCTGCATCTCATCTATATGAAACACTTACAATTCAGCAACTACCAGCAAACGCCCCTACATTCCTGTAAGTAGCCTTGTTGACAAGTTTGGGTGAGTAAGGGCAAACCGCACAATATATAGTACCGTCAATGCAGATATCACTTCTTTTGTAACAGAAATAAACTGCTGCAGAAAAAGTTAGTTGCCATGCAAACCGTAATGAGTAATAGCATTACTTATTACAAATGTATTGGAGTAAAGAGTACATTTAAATTTAGTCAAGTAGAGAGCAAAAGTTGTCAATATCCTTAATACTCAAAGTACAAAGTAGCCAAAAAGATACTGAACTACAGTAACTAATTACATTTACTCAAATACTTTACACCACTGCTCAAATATGATAAAAAGATCAAATCATTAAAGAGAAAATGGTAAAGTCACAGACTACAGTGCAACAGGGCTGAAAAATTTATATATATTTGTATTTATTTTAAATTAAAGACTAAGAAAATGTCAATCTGTCAATTAATGTAGGTAAGTTCAGTCCTGTTAATTCTACCAGTAGTAAGTTATGAGGCAGCAAGCAACACTCTTTTCTGGAATTGGGCCATACAGGATTTTAACTTGATTTGAATGATATTATATGTTGCATGAAAACAAAAGAGAACCACATGCTGTAAAAACAGGCTACTTAATGTGATTTAAGAAGTAACATCCTTTCCAGTATGGAAAAACATTCATATTAACCAATCAGATCTTAGAGTTAGGCTGAACAACATGATAGCTAAATAATGTCTCACTGATTTCAGGTGTAGGTTAGGGTTATAGAACTTTAATTGTGTGATTGGAATGTGGTTCCTGGACAAACAAAGGATATCGATCCAGGAACAAGTTCTGTTTGGTTAAATCACATTTTACAAAATAGAAGTTGCAGAGTCATATCGCACAATAGGCTCCTGTACATGCAATCGACAACCATGTACATTCGTTAACTCAGCAAACAGTCAAAACTTGATATAGACATATTTAATCAGTCTGTGTAATTTCAAATCCGGGCAAAAAAAAAAAAAGTATTTGTGAACCTTTGGACTTGCTATGGTTTTATAAACCGGTTATAAAATTTGGCTCGATCTTCATAAACATCTGCATAAACACATAATAACAGTGGCACGTTGTAATGCCTGCATTGAGTACATCATCGAGTAAACATTTACAGTGCAAAGTTGAAAAGAAACCCCTAAGCTAACTAGTTGTTTAAAAATGGTGTGTGAAGAGACTAACCTGCAAACCTGGAGTCCAAATGAGACGAGATTGCAAGTGTAGGTTAGAGTCACTCCGCTCTATGAAAAACATTACCATTCACAAGAAGCATTGAACCGTTCCTCAAACAAAAGAGAATATCAGTATTGTTCATTTGCATAAAGCTTGAACGAATTTCAAAAGCATCTCTGTGATGTCCATTAGTCTAAATGGAGGAAGTTAATCACTGTCTACTGTTGTGACTTCCATACAGTAATTCATAATTCAAGAATTTTAATCAATAATTTTCCTGCAGCTCTATTTTTATGTTTCCTTCTCTAAAAAGCATGTAAATAAGGAATAATAAAAAAAAAAAAAACATATTGTTATAAAATCCTTCAATGATTAATGCTCGCAAAAGACAGCCCACAATATCTGTGATAAGACTAATGATGGCTCCCTCATCAAACAAACCAGACTATATAAAGCACTCGAGCTCCATCTGAAAACTAATCAGGATGCAGCCCTTCGGGACGCACTATGTGATGGTCAGGCCTCTGTTTTCAGAGGATTCCTTTGCAGAACAGCACGAGAGGATCAACAGGAACCGCAAAACTCTACGGCACCATCTGAAAGACTACTTCACGTAAGAATCTGTCGCTTCATATATAGTCAGTCACCATTATTCATTGTTAGCCTCCGTCTTCCTTCTGTCTTCAATAACGCATTTATAATAAACTGAAATATGGTATCTTATTACAAGCACATTTGAAGATGTTGTTATTGAGATAGCGTATGGATCTAAACGTTTGGGTCTAAATGATGAAACAGGAAGCTTTAGCAAATTATGTTTTTATGGTGTACATTGTAGTTGTGATATGAATCGTGCGAAGAACGCAGCTCTTTCCTTTCTTCCCATCATTGGATGGATGAAGAACTACAACATTAAAGAATGGCTGCTGGGTGACATTGTTTCAGGCATCAGCACTGGACTAGTGGCAGTGCTACAAGGTATTGCATGTTTGTTTGTTTTTTACATAGATTGGCTAATTTTTTATTTATTTTTTACTTCTGTAATACATTATAAAATACTTATAATTACACCATTATTTTGTTATCAGGACTTGCATTTTCCTTGCTGGCCTCCTTACCACCAGGATATGGACTGTATACTGCATTCTTCCCTGCAATAGTCTACTTCTTCTTGGGCACCTCAAGACACCTGTCAGTAGGTGTGTGATATATTGTCAACTGCATTTACATGATATACAGGTCCTTCTCAAAAAATTAGCATATTGTGATAAAGTTCATTATTTTCCATATTGTAATGATAAAAATTAAACTTTCATATATTTTAGATTCATTGCACACCAACTGAAATATTTCAGGTCTTTTATTGTTTTAATACTGATGATTTTGGCATACAGCTCATGAAAAGCTAAAATTCCTGTCTCAAAAAATTAGCATATTTCATCCGACCAATAAAAGAAGTGTTTTTAATACAAAAAAAAAAGTCAACCTTCAAATAATTATGTTCAGTTATGCACTCAATAGTCAATACTTGGTCGGGAATCCTTTTGCAGAAATGACTGCTTCAATGCGGCGTGGCATGGAGGCAATCAGCCTGTGGCACTGCTGAGGTGTTATGGAGGCCCAGGATGCTTCGATAGCGGCCTTAAGCTCATCCAGAGTGTTGGGTCTTGCGTCTCTCAACTTTCTCTTCACAATATCCCACAGATTCTCTATGGGGTTCAGGTGAGGAGAGTTGGCAGGCCAATTGAGCACAGTAATACCATGGTCAGTAAACCATTTACCAGTGGTTTTGGCACTGTGAGCAGGTGCCAGGTCGTGCTGAAAAATGAAATCTTCATCTCCATAAAGCTTTTCAGCAGATGGAAGCATGAAGTGCTCCAAAATCTCCTGATAGCTAGCTGCATTGACCCTGCCCTTGATAAAACACAGTGCACCAACACCAGCAGCTGACATGGCACCCCAGACCATCACTAACTGTGGGTACTTGACACTGGACTTCAGGCATTTTGGCATTTCCTTCTCCCCAGTCTTCCTCCAGACTCTGGCACCTTGATTTCCGAATGACATGCAAAACTGAGCAACAGTCCAGTGCTGCTTCTCTGTAGCCCAGGTCAGGCGCTTCTGCCGCTGTTTCTGGTTCAAAAGTGGCTTGACCTGGGGAATGCGGCACCTCTAGCCCATTTCCTGCACACGCCTGTGCACGGTGGCTCTGGATGTTTCTACTCCAGACTCAGTCCACTGCTTCCGCAGGTCCCCCAAGGTCTGGAATCGGTCCTTCTCCACAATCTTCCTCAGGGTCCGGTCACCTCTTCTCGTTGTGCAGCGTTTTTTTGCCACACTTTTTCCTTCCCACAGACTTCCCACTGAGGTGCCTTGATACAGCACTCTGGGAACAGCCTATTTGTTCAGAAATGTCTTTCTGTGTCTTACCCTCTTGCTTGAGGGTGTCAATGATGGCCTTCTGGACAGCAGTCAGGTCGGCAGTCTTACCCATGATTGCGGTTTTGAGTATGAAACAGGCTGGGAGTTTTTAAAAGCCTCAGGAATCTTTTGCAGGTGTTTAGAGTTAATTAGTTGATTCAGATGATTAGGTTAATAGCTCGTTTAGAGACCCTTTTCATGATATGCTAATTTTTTGAGACAGGAATTTGGGGTTTTCATGAGCTGTATGCCAAAATCATCAGTATTAAAACAATAAAAGACCTGAAATATTTCAGTTGGTGTGCAATGAATCTAAAATATATGAAAGTTCCATTTTTATCATTACATTATGGAAAATAATGAACTTTATCACAATATGCTAATTTTTTGAGAAGGACCTGTATGTGTGTGTACACAACATACCAGGAGGCTAATGAATTACAAGTGAAGGTTTGGACATGAGTGATTGAGGTTGCACTTTCTAATTGGACCATGTTATAGGGGCTTTTCCTATTCTGAGTCTAATGGTGGGCGCTGTTGTCACACGACTGGTGCCTGATGAGGGACCCTCAGCAAACATCACTGGATTTGAAGGGTTGTGCCTGGAACAGCAGAGAGTTCTAGTTGCTTCCTCGGTTACTTTTCTCATGGGCGCATTTCAGGTATATTCTCAAAAAGACAAGTCACCCCAATATATATATATATATATATATCATAAGTTTTCTTTTTTCTTATTTTTCAGCTCATAATGGGGCTGCTGCAGGTGGGCTTTATTGTCATGTATCTGTCAGATACTCTGGTGTCAGGATTCACCACTGCAGCTGCCGTTCACATTTTGGTATCCCAGCTCAGGTTTGTGTTGGGACTGGACTTTCCTGGTATAAACGGGCCACTTGCCATTGTATATGTAAGTTAAAGTTCTTCTCTTTTATTGCAACAGCAATGTAGACATTTATCGTCACATACTGTAGCTCCATATTACTTTTTAGGGGATATATCAAACATTTGGTCTTTTATTTCAGACTTTGGTGGAGGTTTTTAGCCGAATCACTAACACGAATGTGGCCGACCTGGTGACATCTATTGTGATCATGTCACTGGTGCTTATTGTGAAGGAGATCAATGACAGATTCAAGTCGAAACTACCTGTGCCGATACCTATAGAAGTCATCATGGTAGGTATAATTACCACACTAAGACAAAATATATCACTTCTATCAACAAGTAACTCTACCCAATATACAATCTATCAAACTTAATGCAAATCTATCCCAACAGACTGTTATTGCCTGTGGAGTCTCTTATGCGTTCAACTTCGAGGAGCGATTTGATGTGGTCGTGGTTGGGGAGATGGTGAACGGGTGAGAATCTAACAATATGTGATCTACAATATCGGCAACATAAAAAGTGACTAGATTTAATGTGCATATTCAATGGGAACAGATATATTATGCATATAAGTGATTGCTCTAAATTATGCAATGGTTGACTTTGGGGTTGAAAAATATGAATCAGATGAAATAACAAAAACAATTATTTTATTTTATTTTAAAGCCTTTTCCCAGATGGAAATCAACATTTAATGTGTAACATCTCTCTTTCTTAGATATGAATCCCCGGTTGCTCCAAACCTGGAAGTCATTGAGGAGAGTGCAGTGGAGGCCTTCCCTATGGCCATAGTAGGATTTGCTGTGGCTTTCTCAGTAGCTAAAATCTACTCCGTCAAGCACGACTATACGATTGATGGGAACCAGGTCAGTCAGTGCAAATAATGCAAATTCTGAACTGCTGAATTTGTTATTTTCCAAAAAACACGGACACAGTTTTATATGCTCGTCTGTATGTAACAGGAGCTCATTGCATTCGGGGTAAGCAACATGTTTGGGGCATCTTTCCGGTCATTTGCCGCCAGCACAGCACTTTCTAGGACGGCTATACAAGAGAGCACTGGAGGGAAGACGCAGGTAAAACTCTCATGCTATTCCTTGATCTGAAACCATCTGCTTACTACAAGAATACAAAGAATGAAAGATTAATGTTCGTTTTACAACATTTGTAGATAGCTGGAGTTCTTTCAGCCATGATGGTACTGATTGTGATTGTCGCAGTAGGATTTCTCCTTGAGCCGTTGCCCAGGGTGAGAATTTTACACACAGAATACCTACTGCATGAGCTAATCTCACTTTAAACTCTATAAAGCCCTTTTAGTTATAAACAATTGACTGTAGAAGCAGGAGTCTGTCTAATGACCTTTATGCTTTTCTTTTCAGTCTGTTCTAGGTGCTCTGGTCATTGTTAATCTGAAAGGCATGCTGATGCAGTTCAGAGAGCTGCCGTTCTTATGGAAGAATGACCGGCCTGACTTTGTGAGTTTCTCTTTTCATTATTTTAAGAATGATCTAATCCTCTAGCAGCTTTTATTTGAATATAATCAAAAACCTAAGCATATGCTGATCTAAATTGAAAAAACTTTTCCAGCAAAAACTAAATTGAGATTGGTCCAGATCAAAATGTCAAGCCCATGTGTCTCTGTTTCTCACAGGTGACCTGGGTGGTGACCTTCCTGGCCTCCCTTTTTCTGGGTTTGGATCTGGGGTTGGCTGTTGGTCTTGGGGCAGAATTGTTCACTGTGGTCTGCAGGACTCAATTGTGAGAGTGGATTCATGATACCTTCAAATGCCAAAATATAGTTTTATTGAATTTTTACTGACCCAGCAAAATAATATTTTGTTTGCTGCAGCCCACGCTGTTCCGTCCTGGCCAATATTACAGGAACTGACATCTACAGGGATCGCAAAGACTACATCTCTGTGAGTGTTGATCTTGCGCTTCCTCTAGATTATTCTTTCTTTTACATATACCAAAATGTTGTTTCAATGATATTTTTTTCCATTTCAGATTTCTGAACCTGACGGAGTAAAAATATTCAAAATCCCCTCGCCCATCTTCTTTGCTAACATTGATTTCTTCAGAGATAAACTGGTCCAAGCAGTACGTTTCTTGTTATTTTCAAGATTTGGGGTGCCCAATACTGTTCCTGGAGATCTACCTACCTGCAGAGTTCAGATCCAACACACCTGTCTGTAATTATCAAGTGCTCCTGATGATCTTAATAAGCTGGAACAGTTGTGTTCGAATTTAGCAGGAAGGTATCGATCTCTAGGAACAGGATTTGGCACCCGTGGTCTAGAAAGAGAGCTGGGTGTTATTTCTCTGGGCTAAATATTTGCTTTCTTCTAGGTGGGGTTTAGTCCCCTAAGAGTGTTGAAGAAAAGGAACAAAGCTCTGCGAAAGATCAGAAAAATGCTGCGTAATGGAGAGCTGGAGGTGTCAGATGTATGTCCTAACCATTATTATGATTTATCAGTGATGTTTTGTATATACTACTCAAACATTTGGACACAATTAATTTGTGTTTCTCATGACATTAAAAATACTCTTTTAAAATGTAAATTGTATTTATTCATTAATGGATTATCCCACCTACCATACTGTTTTATTGAAATAAATAATTATTTATTTTATTAATGTCATTTTAATGGATTAATAGGACAGGATCATGAAGGACACTATCCCACTTCCCTTATGGTTTTATTTAAATAATAATTATTTATTTAATTGGATTAATTGTAATGGATTAATAGGACAGGATGATGAAAGACACCTATCTTACTTTCCATACAGTTTAATTTAATATATATATATATATATATATATATATTATGTTAATGTATTAATAGAACAGGATAATAAAGGACACTATGCCACTTCCCATATGGATTTATGATTTTTTTTATTTATTAAATATTTTTACATTTTAGGGTATTTTTGCTTCTGTTTCCAATGATCTTCAAAACGTTTTTTTTTTAAATAGTTTAGGTAATTATAAAATTCTCAAACTTTTTTTGTTATTCTAAAATGTAAAAAAAAAAAAAAATGTGTACAGTTATAGTAAAACAGTACTAGTGATGAATGAGTATACAATGTTCTGATAAAGTCCTCCAAAAATCTTGTACTAAATGAAGTCAATCGAATAACAGAAAAATTGAGTTGTTCCTGCATGATCTGAAATGCGTATGATAACAACTATATATAGATCCGATCCTTCCCTGATACAGAGAGGCCTTAAGGTGAGACAACCATCAATTACCACGTCAGAGGATGACAGCAACATGGAGAGTCTGGACCAGCCCACTGACTTCTCTGGCCTTCCAGTCCAGGTGAACTGGAACACAGAACTTCCTGCCAACATCTCTGTCCCTCCTGTGAACATGCACAGTTTGGTCCTGGACTTCTCTGCTGTATCATTCCTAGATATATCTGCACTCAAGAGTCTTAAGATGGTAAAAATGGCTTACTATGAGATACAGCATACTGTTCTCATTTCCACTGGGCCTGGTTTCTTCTAAGATGGTCAGAAATTCCTCATGTACCTCACACTGTGTTGTTTATCTTACAGATGCTAAAAGAGTTTATACGAATCGAGGTGGACGTCTACATAGTTTCATGCGATGGTAAAACAATCTCCTATATAGTTGTCCTTATTTCCAGCCATTTTATTCCAAAAGCTCTTCATTAAGACAGGTCTGCTATCTTTACAGTATACATCATGGAGAAACTTAATCAATGTACATTTTTTGATGACGAGATTAAGACTTCCATCTTTTACCCCACACTACATGACGCCGTGCTGCACATTCTGGAGAAGCATCTAGATCATGGAGAACTAGAAAAGGTAACTTACATAACATGATTCAATATTGTGATAATAAATATTTAATTTACAACAACCATCTGGTGTCAAGGTTCTCCATGCTGATATATTTGTGTTGTGATGTTTGCAGGATATCAACATAAACTACAGAGAGACGAAATAACTGTGTGAGGAACAGAAAACCCCGCTGAAATAGTCTTTAAATCATGCTGGAAAGGTTGTGGTAAATGTTTTATGAGTGGATTTCACCACTGTCTCAGAGTCAGCACACTACAGGGCGGTTTTTAAGTCTAGCCATGGATAGACACTCAACTCAGGCTGCCTTGAAAAAAGAAAATGCACTATTTTAGTTTACAGCAGCATACATCCAGTTTACTGGCGATTTAGAGTACGTAAAGTAAATTGATTCATGTTGTTTGAAATTGGGGCCTACACTTTTGGATATTACTAATGTAATTGGTTAAGACAATTTTAACTAACGTTTAATGATAACAATTCTTACCTTACAAGCCAGGTCCTCCTTTTTCCCTCCGCTATGGTCGTCATCTCCCGCACGTGTTTCTGTTCAGAGAGCAAAGTCAAGTCAGTACAGCCTCAGGTGATTTCCATTCTCCACGGTCCTGCAAATGTTTCCTCTTTGACATGTAGAGACATGGAACATGCTGAAAAACTGTAAGGCATTCAGTTTTTAAAGTGCACAATGTGTTTGTCAGGGCTGCGGATGGATTTCTGAAATCGGTATTCAAGACGGACCAATCAAAAACTTTACGAGCTAGCTGAATTATGTTGCGGAAATAGTAAATGTAATGTGCTAAAAGATTATGATAGATTTACAGCTTTGTCTCGTCATTAAACGTAGTTTCATTGTCTAATTTAGCTTTAATAATTTTTCGGCTTCTCTTTTCCTGTGAAGTCCACACCATCCCAGCAAAAATGTATATGTTGCAGCTTGCAGTGCCTATGTTCCTTATTACCTTTATATATTTATTTATGTAAACTTTTGTAGTTTAACAATTAATTTCAATGAATTCATATCCAATTTCCTCTGTAGAGTGTTTTGGACAGACCATAATTCAATACTAGAATTATGTATGTATTTTGCTTTTGAAAATCCTGTCATGTTAATACAGGTGATTTTTTATAATGAATGTGTTTGTAAACAAATTTCTTGTAATAAAAGTAAAAGAACTATACACCACCTGCTTTTAATTTACATGTTATAGACAGCGAATATGTAAACATTTATGAGACATGTAGGTTTTACAAATATTGCAAACAGCCAATTAAGAGAAAAAAAAAAGTATACATTTTGGACAGCTTCATGTATAACATTTACCTGTCTGTTTTCAGCCAAACTTTCAGGACCATTAAAAAAAAGATTGAATATAAACTCCAAGCTCGTTTTTGTCAAGACATATCAAGATATATTGACTTTAAAATAAAATAAAATTTAAGACACTAGGTGAGAGAGTAGATGAACGCATTAAAAGCGCATTTAATTTGTACATTTAATTTTGATTACATTCAAGAAACATTCAACAATCAACAAAAGCCCCTAAAATGCAGCATGTATGGGCTCAATTATTGAAAAGTAAATGTTTGAATATCTGACGACAAGATTTAAAACACCACTCAGTACTGATCTCTACTATACAGTTATTATTTTCAGACTATAAAATATGCATTCGAATCCCTGCCAAGTTTACATACTAAATCACTTTGTTTAGCAACAACAAAAACACATTATTACTGGTAATATGGTCTGTAGCGGCCCTGATCCGGGTGATGCGGCCCCGGCATCTGTCCCTGTGGAGGGGGACCCTGCATTCGGGGAGGAGGACCCCTGGGGGCCGGCCACATTCCTGGACTCATGCCCCCCGGCTGGTTAAACGGCGGGCTGAGTGTGCTCTTGTCCTCAGGAAACTGTGGGTTGTAATGATGGGGTGGCGGGGCGTTGACAGGGGGTCCACCGTGTTGAGGGGGTGGCCCGGGTGGAGGATGGTTCATAAACGGGGGCATCTGACCAATGAGGTGTCCGGGAGGCGGGGTAATGGGTGGGGGGACAGACGACAGTGGCGGAGGGGCCTGGTTGAAAACCATGTGAGGTGTGTTAGAGCCCTGTCCCGGGTGCGGCATGGGGTGATTGATGGGGGGAGGGGGCGGAGGGGGTCCGTAGTGCTGCTGAGGTGGCGCCATCATGTGATGCGGATGGGTCACGACGGGCTGACCTGGATAGTCTCCGGGGTGATGGTGAGGGGGTGGAGCATTGCCAGGCTGGGGAAGTGTGTCACGTGATGGTCCGGAGCTCGCAGAATCGTCCTGGATGGGAACCGTGATGAGGTTGCTGTGCTTTCGCGTGGTGACGGTCGAGATGCGGAAGGTCTCCTGAGAGAGAGAGCGGGATGGCCCCATGTCTCCCGGCGGTTGGCCTTGCGGAGGTCGGTGGTCATCGTGGGAGGAAGAGGGAGGTTGGCTGTAGGGGTCGTGACCTTGATGAGCCAGAGGAGGAGGGATGAGCACATGAGGCTTGGGCAGGTGAGGCGGAGGCACGCGGAAGCGGTCGGACACCTCCGAGGCTGGAGGAAGGTGGAGAGGGTCAGAGCGGCTGCTAGAGCTCTTGCCGGACCGCATGTGTCGGTGGTTGATGTGGGCCTGCAGGTCCCTCTGGGACAGATAGGTGCGTTTGCACCCCTGAACGATACTACACATGTGGAGGGAGCCACGCTGGCACTGTTCAATCCGCTGGACCGGGTCTGTACAGCTGTACATGTTCAGACTGGAAGCAGAGAGGACATATGGAGAAGCATCAGTAAAACATCAACGTTATGAACATTAGTACAAACCATTATCAATGTTGAAAACAGTTGCTTTTTCATGATTCTTTCATGTTTAAAAGAACAGCATTTATTTGAAATAGATATCTTTTGTAATAATAAAAAAATCTTTAGTCAGTTTAGTGATAAATTTAATGCACCCTTGCTGAATAAAACCTAAATCTTTCTTTCTAAGTACAGACTCCAAACTTTTGCACGTTAGGGTATATAATCCAGTCCTATATCTGCATCAAGCCAAGCATTCTCTATTAAAGTATTATACAACAGTTTAAGGCCATATTTGTATGCAAACGCTTAAGTAGAGGCAAGAACTGCTTCTTATTCTTACCCTGGACACATCTTATCACCCTTCCTTTCATGATGCAATGCACACTCGTAGCAGAAAACATGCTTACATGGGATCTGCAAAGAAATAATATAACTTCACCAAAAAGCTGTCACTTGTAAATTGAACATTTGTTAAACATCAACTGCTCTCACCATACGGCCATATGTTTTAATTGGCAGTCCACATTTGTCACAAAAATGGACGGGTGTCTCATCCTTTTCACCGATCAAGTTTAGCTAGAAAAACAAAAAAACAAGAGTGACCACAACACTTCAAACATGAGCAATCGAGAGGTGAGTACATTTTACAATATATATTTATATAGATGTACCTTGTAATCCCAGTACAGCTGCTGTGGGAACCGACGCTGAGTTGCAAATGCGTCTCCTGCTTTCACACCACAATCAAATCGGTCTTCCTTCTTGAAGTTAAACCCTTCTAGCAGAAACACAAGCTCCATTTAGTGCATCATAATATCTGATAATATGCTTGATAAAATGTAAAAAAAATGTGTCAATGAAAATATATAGACAATACCTTCTTCTCCAGAATGGGCTTTGGGTGGTAACCGTCCCGCTGGTCTCTGCGGTCGTGGGGCAGGTTTATTCCTGGCCTGTTTGGGAAGAAGTTTGATTGGGATCCTCCTCCTGACATCAGGACCACCTAACGGCCCATCTGTACCCTGCATATCATTGTCTGCATTGAAGAACAAAAATTAAGTGTTCATTTTGACCTTCAGTCAAAAACTGCACCTTAATTAGTTGTTAATACCTGTACATAATCAGTGAATGTCTTGATTTTAAATGGATAATTCACCAAAATGGAAATTCTGTCATCACTCAACCTCAAGTTTTTCCAAACCTGTGTCAGTTTCTTTCTTCTGTTGAACACAAAAGAAGATAGTTTAAAGAATGTTGGTAACCAGACAGTAGCCATTGACTCCCATAGTATTTTTTGTCCTACTAGACGTCAATGGGTCCCGTCAAATGTGTGATTACCAACATTCTTTAAAATATCTTCTTTTGTGTTCAGCAGAAGAAAGAAACTCATACAGGTTTGGAACAACTTGAGGGTGAGTAAATGATGACTAAAGAAATTCATTTTTGGGTGAACTATCCCTTTAACAAATCACAAACTGAGACATGATCTGAGTAGCTCTGAATAAAACGCATCTGCATGCAGTCTGTATCGATTAATACGAAATATATCTAACGTTAGAAGACAGATGAAACATTTGCATTTGTGCATAACTAAGACGATATTTCTGCTAGGTTAACGTTAACACTGAAACTGATGTGAGCGATACAACAAAATTCAGCTCAGACGCGATTAGGTTACCCTAAATAACCTCAAAGACTGTACGTATTTATTTACATCATGATGCAGGCTTTTTTAAAGATGAATAAACGGAATCAGGAAGATAAACGCCACATTGACATAGAGGCCATAACCCATAGTGATATAGGAAAAGGTCTTTAACCAGGCATACACAAGATGTAGCTCGTCTTTCCATATGTAAACATATGTAAAAGTTTAGCGCAGTTATTTTGTGGTTATAAGAAACGCGTTTTGGGTCAAATAAACCTAAGATTGAAAACCATAAATTTCCCTCCTTACCACTGTGGTCCATAACTATGTGAAGCCAATGTTCGACGGCACTTCCGTTTTCTACACTTCAAAATAAAAGTCTCTGGTTGTTTTCAAAATAAAACAAAAAGTTTCTGATTGTTTTCCAAGCAAAACAAAACCCTGCAAAACCATTAAATAAATAAATGTAAGGTTATGCTTGAAATTATTGTTTACATCTGAATTTCTTCAGAAAGCAATTGTGAATTTTAAATTTTCGTTTAATGTACAGATGTGGCTAAATGTATTGGCAGTGACACATTTTGATTCAAAAAGTTTGCTGCATCAGAATTTATTATTATTATTATTATTATTTTTTTAAAATATTATTGTTTCTACGGTATACTGGAAAACAATGATAAGCGTTTCATACGTTTTAAAAGCTTTTATTGACAAAAACATTCAATATGCAGAGAGTCAGTGTTTATGATGTTGACAATTCTTCTTCATAACCTGTGCAATTCGATCTGGCATGCTGGAAATCCTGACTGATGACGATCAATTCTTGCCTTGTTTGTGCTTGGAGATAATCACAATTTGTGGACTACTTCTTGTCCACTCAACTTTTGAGGATTGACCACAGGTTCTCAATGGGATTTAAGGTCCAGTGAGTTGGCTGGAAACTCTGGGATGTCCTGAAGCCTTCTTCACTGCAGTTAGTTGGACTGCACTGTTTTTTTTGGCCAATAAAGCTTATTTAAAATGCATCTGATCACTCTGCAGGATAATCTACAATGTGATAATCACATTATGAAATAAATGTTTTTCTCCAAAACACGTTGGGAACAATTATTTGCCCCCTTTTATTAAGTACTTTTTGCAAACTCCTTTTTCCAAGATAACAGCTCTGAGTCTTCTCCTATAATACCTGAAGAGATCAGAGACCATTCCTCCATACAGAATCTCTCCAGATCCTGCAGATTCCCAGATCCATGTTGGCGCTTCTTCTCTTCAGTTCAGCCCACTCATTTTCTATAGGGTTCAGGTCTTGCTTGGTTTTGTGCTCAGTGACCCATTTTTGTTTTGATTTTGATGTTTGTTTTTGGATCACTGTCCTGTTGGAAGATCCAAACATGGCCCGTCATAAGATTTCTAGCACAGGCTGTCAGGTTTTGATTTTTTACCTGTTCGTATTTGATCGAATCCATGATGCCATGTATCTAAACAAGATGCCCAGGACCTCTGGCAGAAAATTAGGCCCACAGCATTAAAATATCAAAAGGATTAACAATGCAGATTTATTTTTTACAGCCATCTTTGATCATATTTACCAAGGCATAATTCTGACCAGCACTGTATACATATAATATTTACACACATACAAACAAATTTACATAATATTATTTGCTCTCTCTCTCTCTCTGGAGTTAAATGCAAATCGAAGCGATAAGAAGTAAAATTGTAATTTAGGTGCACAGCAAAAGCCATAAAAGTTGCTTGGCCTGTATACCATACTATTAAATAACTTCTGAGAATTCACAGACCCACATCAACAATATTCAAAATATGTACTTACCAGAGACAGACGGAAAATGAAAGTCATTGGGTTTTTGAAATGTAAAAAATGTCCAGAGTCTGGTCCAGCAGATTAATGAATTAATCATGAATCATGAATTAATGAATTTAGTGATATCAAACCCTTTAGTGTCCTCTATTGGTCAGAAATGAAAGTGACACTTCCTGAGTGTAAAGCTGCAGGCGTGGCTCCAGGTGATCACTGTACTACTGAGACACATCACAGCAAGACACCAAGATTAAAGGACGCTGCTGTAAGTCACAGAAAATTGTCATTGATATATATTTCTCACAATACAAATATTCCTTCAAATGAAATTATTTCTTGAAATGTTGCAGGGCGGCGTCCGTTTTAATCTACAAAGAAGGTATGATCTTGCTTTTGTTTTCCATTATGCACCTGTCCTTTGTTATAAACATTTTGACTGCTGACACTAAATACGTCTATGATGAAATTCGCAGTTAGAAACATTCAAGTAGTTATAGATTAAAAATCTATTTAAAATATTCATTAGCATGCCTTAGGATGAAAACTAGTACGTTGTAGCTATCTAAAGATGACCTAATATTTAAATATACATGTTTTGATAAGATTAAGCAGTAAAAAAAAAACGTTTGTAGAAATGTAAAAGTCAGAAATTAAGATTTAAAAAAAAATATTTAAAAAAAATATTTTCCTGGTCTCAGAATGATGACTGCGTCACAGTTTATTTTGACATACTAGCCTGTGTTATCACACAGAAAACATCATTCACACTCTGTTTTAGGTTTTACGTGAACAAACAATGTAATTGTTCAGAAAAATTGTTCAGTTCGGCTTTGAGCAGTTTGGCTGATTTGAATGAGAATTTGCATTAAACCTGATGATTTCAACAGTCACATGAAGGAGAATGAAAACACATTTGTTTTTCTTTTACTAGACCCTCATAAATGATAAATGTGTTATTTATACTATAAACAACCAAAATGTATTTTAATCACATGCTCTTTCAAAACATCAAATAGTGAAAGTAAGGCCGAAGGCGAAGGACTGAGTCAGCTTTATGGTGCTGTGCATGTCTGCGCCATTTTTGTTTTATTACCACAGAAGAGCAGAGTCCTCTAGGGTTGCAGGAAGCTGTGTTTATGGCTGCAGGTGTTTTTCAAAACTTGATTGTATGTGCAATGATGTCATGTTCTAACACTATGGCAGCAGCAATAGACAAAGGCACACCCAGTGTCCTCAGGTCACATGGCCCGTGTGTTTACAGAGTGATACTAGTCCGTTGAAAGCAATAGCTACTGGATCAAGTCACGTGAGACCACAAAGGGCAGGGCGAAATAACAAAGTCCTCTTCCTCCACGCAAACAAAATAAAGAACCGCAGCAGAGAAAGGAAATAGAAAATGGTCCTCAGGCAAAGAGATGGTCAAACGTGATGCAAGAGACGGTTGAATTAGTGACATAAACATGATCACACCTTTCAGAACACGATGGTGGAAGAGACGAGACAGCCGAAAAAGGCCACATCCCTCCAGGCTGGACCTGGTGATGTAGACCACAACATTGTCTATGCCAATAATATAAGGTAATCATTTGTTCAGATTGAAATATATTGTTAATGTGAAATACAATATATTTTACGCACAAATCTTTGTTTGGTCTGAATATCAGAGTCACCCAGCTTATTGGACGACAGCTGGCTCAGATAGGGGACGACTTGGACAACAAATGGCGTGAACAACTGCCCGTCCAATTGCAGCCCTTGAATTTGGGGATTTATCTTTACGTCCTAACCAGGACAGCGTTCTCTGGGTGAGTTGAGGGCATTTACTCCCACATGCTCAAATGCCAAAAGCAAATCCATTTAGGATGCTTCGAATGAAGAGAGTGACCGTTCTGGGTGTGGTTTGTTATTACTGTAATAAGCAGGATCCTCTGCAACCTCTGGGGGTCTAAAATTATGCCAATGTTGAGGACATCCTGGTTGATTCCACAGCTTCAAAATGGCTGTCAGGAGGCTAAGAAGTGGGCAGCCTGGGTAAGGACAATATTTTTGTGTGTGTCAGTAAATAGATGTAAATATGTATAAATCTTGGGTAAGACACTCAAAAAGTCGATTTGGTTATATAGTCATAGACTAATCCAGTATAGACTACTGTTCAAAAGTTTGGGGTTGGTAAGATTATTTTTAATATAATTTTTTTTTAAATAATTTGTGTGTAAAACGAAACGTGATCATTTTTTTTTAGGATTCTGCGACGAATACAAAATTCAAAAGAACAGCATTTACTTGAGTTCGATTTTTTCATAACATTACAGATTTTTTTATTTACTGTCACTTTTGACCGATTTAATAAGTCCTTGCAGAATAAAAGTAATCATTTCTTTAAAAAAAAAAAACAACCTTACATGACAACTTTTGAATATTAGTGTAAATAAATTCAGTAGTCAATATTTGATTCTGTAAATACATTTATATGATTTTCCCATTTTTCTTTCACAAAGCATTTTACAAAGTATAATTTCTAGTCTAATTCATATTTTAGAGCCATGCACAAGTAGACAAAAATATATTCACTACAGAAATGTCCATGGTTTTGTTGTTGTATTTCGTGAATTTAAATGAAATGCACAGGCCTAGAAAGAATGCTTTCATATTTTCAGGTTTTACATAACTGTGGCAACCCTGGTATTTGAATGAAACTGTGGTACAAAACAAATGTAATAATTTTATTTACTTTTCTCAGGTGCCCAACCTTTCTGACTGGTCTCGCAGGAACACATACATACTGGCGTCTGCTTTACTACTGGTCACTGTGTCCATCTTCCTTGTAACTTAGTATGGATATGAAGACTGAAGGTGACAGTGAGGGGGTCAAGAGCTGGTCTTTGGCTCAAATATAACCATTTTGTTGATTTTTGTTTTGTTTTGCATTTTGCATTCTCTTTTATAACTGATTCAAATTAAGTGCTGGTTCACATATATACGTACGTACATATATGTGCAGGTTTTCGCAAGTTAAACATGTTTTGTGTGTGTGTATTGGGTCTATTGCTGGATAATTGGGCCAATGAATTGTTACCTCTTCCTCTAAAAGCATTTCTGCATTATTAAAGGAAGCTGGACTTTCCAAGCCATCAAGCGCAATAAAAGTTTTAAAAAAGAAAACAAAGTGTATCGTTTCTTTGTATTTATCAGCAAAAAGACAACAGATTGACTGCACAACCACTGATCAATCCTCTGTCAGTGTAACATCTACATGCGTATAGTTCTTAAAGGCCTTCATATTGCACTTCTGTAGCGTTGAACCCAAATGTCTACCAGGTCCCACCTCATAGGTGTGAGGAAACTCCTGCCCCTGGGATCTTTCATAAATCTCATGCAGCGTCTGCTCCCATTTCACCGGAGACACCAGCTGTTTGGCCAGCTGATTCCGTACGTGCTTGTCATGCATGTACCGCTTGCCGTCCACATTGGAGTGCACGGAGATCTCGGGCCGCCGTACCTCTATCTGTCTAAGGACGTCTCTCAGAGGCTCGACCGCCGGCTCCATCAGTGGCGTGTGAAAGGCCCCGCTAACCGGCAGTAGTCTCGTTCTCATGAATTTCAGCTCTCTGGAATGTCTTTGAAGGAAATCCAAAGCCTGTGTGAGAGAATGTCTGTTAAAAGCATGGAAAGGCTTAACAATTAGGTTTTTGGAAAACACATTTCTGGTCTTAGTGTATTGGTCTTTTTGCATTTATTCCAAATGATGAATCTTACCTCTTTGTGGCCAGCTATTACTCTCCCATCTGGAAAAAGGTAGTTGGCAATGGCACACACAGGCTCTTGGATACCAAGAGACAAACAGTGCTCCCTAGCTTGGACGCAGGTGTATTTGTAGTTGGCCTGAGGTCGGCCAATCACAGACAACATGCCACTAGGTACTTGGTCGGAGGCCTTCTGCATTGCTTCTGCCCTCACCTTTACTGCAAACAAAGCTGTGAGCACAGAACAGGGCATTTTGATCAAATAAATGTGTGTGAATCTCCTGAAAAATTGTTAATAACATGTCCAGGGCTCTAGGTCATATTTTACTGCCAAATCAAAATAAAAAAGTGAACACCTTTAACACATTCTGTTGACTATAAGTAACTTCGCACCTACATGTCTACTAACTCTCATTAGTGTTAGTAGAGTATTAGTAGACTGGTAGGGTTAGAATAAGTTGACATGTAGTTACAAAGTTACTTATAGTCAGTAGAATGTACAGTATGTTGAGGGACCATCAAAATAAAGAGTTAGCAGATTTTAGGCAGACAGTCTTCTAATACTCTAATGAGAGTTAGTTGACATGGAGTTGCAAAGTTACTTATAGTCAACAACAGAATGTTCAAAAGAGACCATCAAAATAAAGTGTTACCTGATATTATGCCTTAAGAAAAGGAAGACTACTTTTCAAATAGCTAATTTTGTATGTTTTTATAAACGTAAGGGTGAGTTTTACCTTCAGCAAAGTTCATTGCACCAGAGAAGACCAAAGCCGCAAATTCACCAACACTAAAACCTGCAGCAGTCACACAGCTCTCAATAGCCTATAAAGGGGGTCAATGGGTTTTACATTAGTACTGACCACATGCTCGTATATTAATTATACATGCACAGCACTGCCAATACTAATAGATGAGCTGTCCCGTCATAACTATTCTGTTATTGCGAATAACTTACTGCAGGATTTTCATGGTTCAGTCTTTCCACAGCCGCCAGTGAGCAGACAAACACAGCTGGCTGGCAATGAACAGTCTTCATCAGATCTTTCTCGGGTCCATTCAAGCAGAGTGACAGCAGGTCATAACCAAGCACCTTCTGAGCGACAGCAAACATTTCTTTGACATTTCCATACTTCAACAGTCCCTTTCCCATACCGACGAACTGACTGCCCTGTCCGGGGAACAGAATGACAGACGCGCTCCCCGGAACTCTGCGGGTTCTCCTGGGCTTCTCCTCACCAGAGCTGGACTGAGTTCCATCAGATGAGATGGGGACATCTGACAGTTTTCTGCAAAGGTAGACAGTCGCCTTATTCCGAAACAGACGAACTTTACTACAACACCTGAGAGTCACGCTGAGATTCATGATAAAAACTTGTTTGTTCAAATGAAATTCAACATGTATGTTTCAGAATGCACTCTTACTGCGGAGGTCAAATGCACATTACTCTTGTTTTGGAGCGTCACAGGAAGACAACGCGCACATGCGTCACACGAACTATACAGTATTCCTGCGATATCATGATTTTATCAGACAATATTAACATTTAGAAAACCAAAATACTTCTGTAGCACTCTCGTGTTTCCCACATATGCCATGTGTGGATTTTTCTTCTGTTCGTATCCCGTTTAGTCCGGCAAACGACAAAAGCACAGCGTCACCTAGTGTACTGGATGTCATAATCTGTGTTAATGTCGTGATAATCCCTGCATATATAAAATAGTAAACATATGAATATATTTTAAATGTATTTACACAAAAATGAGACTGTTGCTAGGTGTCATGGGGAGAAGTCGTCACAAAGGCACATCAGGTCGGGGCAAGTTGTCACACATGTAAATGTTTGTTTGTTTGTTTGTTTAGTGATTCTGTTGATCATTACAGATCTGTTGGCCAAAACAATTGCCTGAAATTATATTGGCCTATGTTACCATTAGATGTAGGTTTCTGCTGTTTCGGGAAATTAATAATTCATATATAAAGTAACAATTCTCTCTCACACACACACAATATACATATATAATATACACATATATAATATATATACACACACATAGGATATGTTACTAATATATTTATATAATATGATACTGTAGCGGCAGCCTATATTGCTACTAAATGATGGTGTATTCTGAAGTGATACATGGTTTGAAAAATCACCAGTTAGACAGCAGACGGCTGAATGTATCATCAGTGGATAAAGGCAAGCACTGGAGTGCAAGACCAATATTTTTCATCTGCAGAAACCATACGGCCAAAAACCCATCCATTATATTCCTGGGAAATTAAAAAATACCTGTCATCCTGAATTTCCTTTCAGTTCATGCTTAATGCAAAGCAACCGACTTCCTTTTTTTAAATGATTAAATCTCAATAATATATATATCATAATCATAATAATACCTTTGCAGCAAACGTGTCATGGTAGAGAGTACGTTAAATGCTTTCGTTTTTTTTATTTTTTATTGGACTGACAGAAAATGCTTAAACAATACACAAAACATTCAACCGGCAAAAACTGGCTTCTTGTGAGCCCTTGCATGGCAATCCAATTTATTAAACTACAGATGCTCGGTTATACAAAATTGCACCACTTTTAATTAAGGCTTTTAAGTTGACACTTGGCCATCCACCCACCCTTACCTCCCTCCACCCGCCACCCATCAGAAGCAGATGATGTTGCAGTTGAAATACTGTGCCTCTGTCTCAATCCAAAGGTCCCCCCATCCCCCCCCCAACCCCCAATTTTCCCTCAAAACCTAAACAGCATCCAGGCATTTGCTCGCAGTAATCAGAACAACACACGACTCGTAATGTTGACCTTTGTCCGCTGCTGCTCGGACACTCCCTATGAGTCGTGTTCTTCACTTTACACAGTGCAAATCCTCAAAGCACTCATAAACAATTCATTGTGTGTACATACGGCATGCTGCACCCTGTCGCTTTGATGTTTAAAGAGACAAGTATTTAATGCTACAACATTCTTTATGATTGCACTTGATGCACAACTAATTCTTTTAATTTTTTTTTAATCAATTATTCCCATTTTTTTCTCGCTTAACACAAAGTTCCCACACCCCCACATTCAGTTAATCCAACAGTAACGAAGACAGAAAACGTCAAATTATTACAAAGTCGAAACAGTCACTAACAGACATCTTTTCCTCACTCTTTACTGACAGGATCCAATATTTGGTTTTCATATCCTCGGTTTACACCAGATGCATCAGCAAGCAAGGGGAAGGGGGCGAAGTTTGAGTATCGAGAGTGACAGTTTGTTGTTCCTGTGTATGAAAACCCCCAATTCTTTCAAATATAAACTGTGTACATGTCCTACATTTGATCAGGATCAGCTTTGTCAAGAGGGATTTGACTACTTATTATGAAACCACCCAAAAGATGAGCTTCTGACAGATATGGGTGGTACTAAAAAATGAAATTTTCAAACCCTTTATTTTGAATACCCCCTTTTAAAAAAAAAAAAAAAAAAGCCTGCTGTACAAAGTTTCCTTGTAAACAAAACAAAGAAAGCCGGCATGGCCAATGAGATGGACCTAAGATCACGGAAATGAAGTTTAGAGGGAATCTTCATGGGAAATAAAGAGGAAAAAAGACTTAACACATATTTGAAGGCAACATCTGAGGCTAAGGACAATGATAGTGACAGAAAAAAATTATATTTTTGAACTTTTTACATGTACATCACTGTATCCACAGGTTTTTCCTAAGGTAAAACTCAATAGCTGTTGCGAATATAACATCTGCATAGAGCAAAAAATCTAGTAATTTTATAAAAGAGAAAAAAAGGCAGATGATAAGGAAATCATGTTTAGAATAAAAGCAAAAAAACAACAACAACAACAACAGTTACAAACAAATAAAAAAACAAAACAAAATCAAGGAGTGAAAGTTAGCTGTAAGAATGGTTTATATAGGAGCTCTTTGGACTTCCCCTCCTCTCTGGCTAAAATAGTGGTGCTTATAAATATCATTGTAATTGCCATGGCAACGTGCACAGCCTGGTTAGACATTCCCTCCTTACATTTACAACGGTGGCTGTCTCCGTTAGCGATAACACTGCGTGTATAGGCTCTGTATTTTTTAAATTCTTTTTGTCTAGCTCTGTATTCATTTACTCATTTAATTTTTTTATTCAGTTGCAT